TTCCCAAGAAACTTTACACACACATAGAGACACACGTTGTGCATATAATTTCAGAGGGTTCTCGTCCCTCTTCCAAAGATGTTACATTGCTAACGCTCAAGAGTTTGCTCCCCGGGTTATGGGCGTGTGCCCATTTAGTCTCCAGAGCTGTCTCTTCACCATTTTAATGAAGCTTTTCTGAATATATCTCAGTATTCCCCAAGGCTCCCATCTTAGCGCTGAATATACAATAGGTGCCTAATAAAGACTGATTAAATGACGGGGGGAGGAAGTTAGTGACTATAGCAAGTGGATGGGTGGATAGATGATGAATGGAAAGCAAGTGGGTGGGTGAGTGGACAGATAGGTAGGTGAACGAATGGAAAGATAGATGGATGGAGGTTGTATGGGTGGGTGGGTGATGGGTCATTAGGTAGATGGATGGGAAGATAAATTGGTGGATGGATGGATGGATGGATAGATGGATAGACGGACGGCAGATAGATTGGTGGGTATATGACTAGATTAATAGGTGCTTAAGGGAGAAAATAAATGCTCATCATCTACCTACACTGGTGCCCACACCTGCCCACATTTGCTCTATTCTGAGATTTTTTACCTGTTTTCCTCCAGGACCCTGGCCCAGCGCTCAGAGGACGAGGCCGAAGGGGTGGAGCTGCTGGGAGTGAGACCTCCCAAACGGTCCCCAAGCCCAGGACCCGAAAACTTCCTACTGCCTCCCCTCAGCCTGGTATGTGTGGGAATTCCTGGGGCTCTCTGACCCTCAGAACCCAGCAGGCTGAAGCCTACTGTTTTATGGATGGGAAAACCAGAGAGGGCAAGGGATGGCTGAAAGTCAAAGGGAAGGTCTACGGTCCATCTGAGGCCAAGACCTTGATCTGCTTGCTCAGCTAATGGGTGTGAAAGGGCTTTGCACATTTATGTGAGTTATTAAGAAGTGCTAAGAAAAAATTAAGCAGGGGAAGGGGAGAAATGACAAGGGTTAGAACTTAGGAATCTTCTGTTCCCATGGGCTCCCCCTTCCAAACCTAGAACAGGCCTCGGCCTTGGATGGTCAGTGTAGCACTAAGAATACAGACCCTAGAGTCAGATTAGCTTAGTTAGGTTCAAGTCCCAGGCCTGTCACCTAGTAACTGTGAGACCTCAGACCTCAGACAGGCGATGTCACCACTCTGAGCCTGTTTCCTCGTTTGGAAAGTGGGATTTCACATTTCACAGGACTGCCATGAGAAGCACAGGGAATCAGGCCCTTAGCTGATCCTCAGTGGGCTGTCGATAAATGGTAGTATAAAAACAAACCAAATCAAAGCAGCATCCCTTCCCCCCGCCCGAGGCTCCCTGCCTCAAGTCTCACAGCAACCAGAATGCCCTTTCTAAAAGCCAGCCTAGACCATGTGACTTCCACAGGTCCTCCCTCCAGGACCTTCTATGGTTCCCTAGTACTCACAGACGAGCTCTCTGGCTCTTCCCCCAACAGGGCTGTTTGGACAGGAGGGGTGTGGTTGATAACATCGGCAGCTTATATTTATTGAGTGCTTACCATGTGTCAAACACTGACTGTACTGAGTGCCTTCCACAATTAAATTATTCAATCCCCACGACCACTCTTGAAATCTTATTATTATCGTTATCATTCACATTTACACACAAGAGGTCAGGCAACCGTATCAGTCAGAGTTTGGGCAGGAAACAACCTGCTCCAATGGGTGTTGAGGAGAATTCAATAACAGGACTGTTGGCAAAAGTGTGGGCAGCATGGAGGGCATCGACGGGGCTGGTACAGCGCCCTAGGGTTTGCAGTATGGGAAGTTGGCACCATCTGCAGTCTGAAGGCACAGGGCAGGAAATGGTCACTGGATCTTGGAGAGAAGAGGGGCCAGCTTATAAGAGCTGAAACGTTCTGTGGAGGGACAGAGCCAACCAATGACAACCGATCTGGGAAACAGCTAGGAGATCAAACACCCCTCCACTTCCTCATGCCTCCTGCTGGCATCTCCCATTACATGACCCAACAGGAACACAGAGCAAGGTTGTGTGTTGATCATCTGGGAAACAGATAGAAGATCAAACACTCCTCCACTTCCTCATGCCTCCCATTACATGAACCCAACAGGAACACAGAGCAAGGTTGTGTGTTGATGGGGTCCACACACACAGGAGAATAGGAGAACAAAGCTCTGGAGGGACACGTGTAGGATGTCTGGGACAGTGACTTGCCCAAGGTCACACAGCCATTAGGTAGCCACTGAACCCCACAGTGCCCTTAACCATCGCACCATCCTGCCTCCTTGGATACTGATGATGCTGGGGATGATGGTGACAATGATTGTGGTGATGATGGTGGTGATGATGGTGATGGTGATGATGGTGATGATGGTGATGGTGATGATGATGGTGATGGTGATGATGGTGATAGTGATGATGGTGATGATGGTGATGATGGCGATGATGATGGTGATGATGATGATGGTGGTGGTAATGGTGATAATGATGATGGTGGTAATGGTGATAATGATGATGGTGATGATGATGGTGATGGTGATGATGGTGATAGTGATGATGGTGATGATGGTGATGATGGCAATGATGATGATGGCACCTTTGTCTCTGTTCTGCAGAATTTCCTTCTGACAGGAGGACCAGCTCCGGCAAGTCAGCAGGATCCCAGCACCCACCTCTTGGAACTGAATGAGCCCTTGGGTGAGTGGCAACTTGGGTATACAGAGGCCCTGGGTCCCCATCTCCCCTACAAGGTGCCCGGGATGGCTGAGAGAGGGGCGGGGCAATCACGAAGGTGGCGGGGGACTGTCAGTGCCCTGATGTGACCTTGGTGGAAATGCACAGCCCCTCCCTCCTCTCAGGGGCATTGTGGGGGGAAAGGGAGGCCCTGAGGGAGGCAGGGGCTTGCCACAGCTGCCCCTTGGGATGGAAGCCGAGCCCGGGCCTCAGCCTAGGTCTCCCGAAGCCTGCATTTGATTACACTTTGGGGCTGAGTCCTGCCATGGTCCTTCTGGCTATACAGCTTTGGGAAATGGTTTCTGTTTCTGGAGCCTCAGTTTCCCCTCCCCCAGCCCTACCCTGGTCAGTTAGGGCCTATTATAGTAGTTCTTACCTTGGGGAGATGTTTGGGGGCTTCTGGAGACACCGCATAGCAAGACCTGTTGTGTCGTAAACACTCAAGAAACACCTGTCCTGGAGCGATGCTCATTCCACGGCCCCTCTGCCGAGTGCGAGACAAGCCACTCTCTCGTGTGTGTCATCGACATCTTCCAGCACTACTATAAGCAGCCGCAGTCCCACCTGAAACCTCTAGGCATCGGCTAGAGAGGTTCTTCCAAAGCGCTAATCTGACCCGGGCCTGCCTCTGCTCAAAACCCTTCCATGGCTCCCTAGTGCCCTTCAGAGAAGGATCAAGGTCCTCACTTGGGACTCAAGTCCCTGAGGTCTGCCCACTGCCTCATCTCAGGCTCTGCTTCGCATCCTCTGCTTCAGCCATAGTCACTGCCTTTTGATTCATTCTGTCCTTCGTACATGTAACCAGTATTTATCGAACGCAGAATAAATGCCAGACACTGTCCTTGGAGCTGGAGATACAACTGTGAACAAAACACACAGAAATCCCCGGCTGACATTCTAGTGAGGGAGACTGTCAGGAACCAAGAAACAAATGTAATGAAGAGTACAGGGGAAGGAAAGAGGTGCTACTGACTGGGGGTGGGGGGCGTGAATAATGCATACAAAAGAAAGGGGAGTTCTGGGGTGCGGGGGGATTTCAATTTTAAGGATAATTAGACACGGTCTCGCTGAGGTAACATTTGAGCAAAGACTTGAAGGAGCTGAGGGAGTGAGCCCTGACAATTTCTGGGAGAAGAGTATTTCAGGCAGAGGGAACAGCAAATGCAAAGGTCCTGGGGTGGTTGGGTGGGTCTGTTTTATTTGGGGAAAACAAGTCCCCTCTGGCTGAAGCAGAGAGAAGAGGGGAGAGAGGTAAGGGGCCTCCGTAGGGCATCGCGATGATTTTAAAGTCATCTTACTTGAGGAGGCTACCTCGGGGCCTTTGCATATGCTGATCCTGCTGCTTGGAATGCTTTTCCCTCTATTCATTGCCTAATTACTGCATCCTTTAGCTCTCTGCTCAAATATTATGCCTACGAAGTCCTCCCTAACTAAATTCTTAAGCTCTTGGCTCATAACACTCATCCATATTTACATAGATTTTTGTGTTGTTATTTGATTCTTGGCTATCTTCTCTCCGTGGGCAGGGGCCAGGCCGGTCCTGGTCACCGCTGTCCTCTACTGTGTGTGTGAGGCTGGGCAGCAGCTGGCTCCAGAGCAGGTCCTCAGTACATATTTGGAAATGAAGAGCTAACATTTATTTAGCGCTCGGTGCCAAGCTTTATGCTAAATTTATGTACATGACCTAATTGGCGCCCCTCACTGGAATGTCAGCCTCACAAGGGCAGGGAGTTTCATGTGTCCTGTTTACTACCGTACACAGTAGGTGCTCGATAAATATTTCTCAAACGACCGAATTTTCACAAACGAGGTAGATATAAGTATCTCTGTGTTCCAGGTAACAACAGCACAAGTTATTGTTCAAAGCACTTTATACGAATTCATTCATTTGCTCCTCCTCACAACGGTCCCAGGAGGGAGGCACTGGGACTCATTTTACAGATGAGGTCACGGAGGCACAGAGAGGTGAAGCCACCTGCCCCGGGTCACACAGCAAGCAAAGAGCAGAGCCCGGATTCAAACTCAGGCAGAATCTGGCTCCAGGCTCTTTAACTATGGTCCCAAATGTCCTAGACACCTGAGGTTTGGAGGCTAGAACTTGCCTAAGATTTCACTGCTGTTCAAATCCAGGTGTGTCTGTCTCACTGCCCACAGGTTTAACTGTCGGGAAAGGCGGATGGGTTGGGGCGATAATTCCCCATGGGTTTACCTTCTATCTTCCCCTGCAGGCCTGGGCACCTCGCTGCTCTGTCTCTATCCGGATGTAGACAACGCCCAACCCAAGAGCCGCTTCCAGCCAGCAGCGGGCTTGGCCCAGGCCAACTGAGCCAGCCTCTCTTCCCATCTCTCCTCCCCTCCCCAAAAAGGACCTCAACCACACTCCAAGCCGGCAGCCGACGCACAGGATGGGGGAGCCAGGACAGTGACTCCCCTTCCCTCTCAGTGGCCCTTGCCTGCCTCGGGCCTACCTCAGGCCCTACCCCACTGCCTATACCCCATCTGGGGGCTCTTTGGGGTGGTCTCAGCTCAGCGACCTCTGGGAGGGGGTCCCTGGCCCCCTCCCCCTCCTTCTCTCAGGACTTCCCTTGGGGTTCTTGATACTAGTTACCTCATCCCTCTCTCCAACTCTTGTGGCTTTATTTTGGGTAATTGGGGGAGGTTGGGGTTCAGATCTGTGTTTCTGGGCTCTGGAGAGTGTCGATGACCATAATGACATCTCTTTCCATCCGTCTTTATTACTATTTTTATTCTTGTTTTCATGATATATTTTTAATGGCTACGAATTGCCTGGGGTCCATAAGAATGTGGGACTCTGATCTACCCCCCTGCCACTCAGGTGTCACTGGGGAGGGGAGCCTCTCCCCTAACCCCCAGTGACTTCTGATCGAGCCCTTAGCCTCCCAGGTGGCCACCTGCCTCTACCTACCCCCTCCACTCTGGACTTCTGCTGCCCCCAGCCCCACCTGGACACACGTCAGTCATGGACCTCCTATTCCGGGCGGTCCAATACAACTTCCAACCCTCCCCGGTTCTAGACCAGACAATGTCCTGCCTCCTCTGGTTCTAGACTTCTCCCAGTAAATCTCCCTTGTTCTAGATGTCACACTCTCCAATTCTTGCTGGTTTCAGATCTTACAGATAATGACTTCCTCTGATTCTGGACCCTATAACCCCAAGCTTCCTATCGGTGGTGCTAGTCTTCCCGACCTGTAACAGATTTGGTTCCAAATCCAGAATTCCTAATTTCTAGATCTCACGACTCCCAGCTCATTCCTTTTTTACTTTCTACACTCAGGATTTGCTTTTCTCATCAAGAAGAAGTCACATGGGTTTTCTGTCTTGAACTCGGAACCAGTGCTTCCAGAACCAGATGCCATGCTCAAGTTCTCTTTTGTTCCGGACCTCATGACCTCCACCAGTCATTGGTTCTAGACTACACAACCTCTAGACTTTGCACTTCCGAGGGCCCTCTGATTCCAGATTTGATGATCCCCGCCCCCCAGATGTTGATCTTTGCCTCGAATGTCCTCTGATTCCAGACTTCATCCTACAAATCCCCTTGGTCTTCGACCTCACAATCTTCGATTCCCTCTCATTGCAGATCTTATGACTCCAAATTACCCTGGGTTTGGAACTCAGCCTTCAAACGTCTTCTGATGATAGACCTTGCCTTATAAATCTCTCTGGTTTTAGACCTTACATTTCCCAACTCCCAGTTCTAGATCTCGTGACTCCAAAACCTCTCTGGTTCTAGAACTTGGTCTTCAGCCTTTTTCTAATTCTAGTCCGTACTCTATAATTTTCTCTGGTTCTAGGCCTCACAGCCGCCAACTGCCTCTGATTTCAGATCCAAATTCTGCTTCTGGAACTCAGCCTCCAAACGCTTCTGATTCTAGAATATGTACCATATCCTATAGATTCCTGTGGTTCTGAAACTCAGCCTCCAAAAGCTTCTGATTCTAGAATCTGGACCTCATCCCGTAGATTCCTCTGGTTCTGAATCTTAGAGACCCTGACTCCTTGATTCTGGAATCCAACTGTTTAACTCTATTCAGGGCTTCCCACCCCACTCAACTTGCCAAAATTCCTACTGTCTGAAGTCTTCCCATTCCAAATTCCTCTGTTCATGGGCTCCATGCTCAAGCCTCTCCATTCTCAATCTCCTGTCCATAAAATTTCTCTGTCCTAGAACCCCCTCGACTCCCCCACCTCAGCCCTGTAGATATGCACTCGCCTTTACTTTACCCTAGGTATCTGGGGGACTTGGGGGCTCCCTCACCCCTTTGGGGGGAGTTCACAATCTAGGAGACTTCTCCAGCCACACGGGCACACGCGCAGCCCTATCTGCATATTGCCGGGTGGGGAGAGAGGCTCTGACTCTTCCGTTCTCTGCCTCCACCCATGTGCCCCAGCCCCTTTTCTATAATGGTGCTATTCTCGGTCTCCCACAGAAAAAGGCCTTCCTCTCTCAGCCTGATTCACCCCCTTTTTAGAAGGCACATTTTACTCTGTTTTGTCAGGGGATTGCCTGTCCAGATTGGTGCTATGGGGGAGAAGGGTTTCACCCCTCCCTCCCTCAGGGTGACTTGGGTCCTCAATAACGAGAACTGTGCTGGGCTCGGAGACAAGAGGGGCCTGACCAGTCACACTAGTTCTGAAACCCATTAATCTCTATACCACCATAAAGACCTCGCCTTGGTAGGCACCAGAACTCTGTGTGTTGAGTCATCTGTGGGATTGCTTCCGGGGTGTGAATATACTGGGTGACGGGTGTCCATGTCAATTTATGATTCTATGTGTATGTGTGTGACTCTGTGTTCCTATGTGGGTCTGTGTAACATGTGTGTCTAGTAATGATGTAATTCTGTGTACATGTGTCTGCCTTCATGACATAATTCATGACCTGTGGGGGGGTTGCAATTCCTTCTACATGTATATATTAGTATCTGGGTGAAATGTTTCTGCCTTATGTGTGTTTCTTCTGGTTACTTCGGGTTTCTGTGTTCCTGCGTGTGGGAGGGGTTGTGACTTTTTTTTTTTTTTTTGGTACCTGTGTGTACTTGTTTGGTGTTGCGATTCTGCATACATGGATAAGACTGTTTGACATATAATTCTGTGCACTGGTGTTTGTCTGTGTGACATGATTCTCTGTGTGTTGGGAGGGGCGTCTACAGGTTCATGTGCAGATGGCTGTGCCTGTTCTGTCATGCCTTTGTGTGTCACCCTCATAACCTTTCTCCTGTGTTTCACGAAGCGGTCTCTCCAAAGGATGAAAACCACTTTCAAGCCTTGGCATTCGCTTCTCCCTCTGCCTCAAATGCCTTTCTCCCTTCCCCCTTCTCCTCACTTGTTTATTGCCTACTCATACTTTAGATCTCGGTTCAGACATCTCCTCCTCCAGGAAGTCTCCCCTGCTTGCTCCAGCTGGGTGAGGTCCTCCCACAGCATCCTGAGTCCCTTCGCTATCCCCATCACAGCTCTAGGTACTCTGTCCCATTCTAAGTATTTATAATGGAGCGAATATAAAAAGTGCTTCCTCTGTGTCACGCCCTCTGCCAAACACTTTACTCATGTGATCTTACAAACTCTCCTCTAATCCTGTAAAATAGGCATGATTATCTCCATTCTACAGAGGATGAAACTGAGGTTCAGAGAGGATGATCACTTGCCCAAGGTCACACAGCAGGGAAGGGCTGAGATGGACTTGAATCCAGAATTCAAATCCATTACGGCAGCCTTCTCAAACACACACCAAAAAAATCTCAAAAATCTATTCCATAATGTGGGCTGCGGAGCATATAGTACAGTAGGAATTAAGAGCCCAGGAATTAGATGGGCTGGGTTCAAGTCCTGGCTCTGCCACTTTCTTATTGAATGACCTTGGGCAAGTGCATTGGCCTCTGCAAATCTCAGTGTCTTCATCTATAAAATGGAGATGATACTAGTATTTTCTAGGGTGATTGCTAGGTGAGGGGCGGGGCTCAGACTGCCACAAGGTTTGGGGGAGGCATAGCTTGTGCTTCTAGGAGAGGAGCCAGAGCAGAGCCTTAAAAGATTCGGTGCTACAGTCGGCAGGAGTAGAGGCTGAGGGCTTGGAAAGGTCTGGAAGGGTGTACAGTGTGTGTGGGTTGGAGCTGGGGGGGCAATCGAGCTTGTCTTGTGAGGCTAGGCTATTCAGGGTCTCCTAGGTCATCAGAAAGCGTTTGAATTTTCTCCTAACGTCACCAAGGAGCTAGGGAAGGCTGCGGAAGAAGGGATGAGGCAGAAAGATGGTTCAACATGCTTCTGAGCCCCGCTCAGGGCTAGGGGATCCAAGGCGCCTTCAGTTAATCATATATTTGGACCTTTATTCTGTCGGTTTGAAAAACCACCCATTTTTCAGAGGGGGGGTAACAGACCCTAGAAAGGTGAGGAGGATGCGGTCCAGGTCCCACAGGTAGCTGACAGTAGGGCTACTCTCCCAGCTCCGGTTCCGCGGTGGGCTCGGTGCCGCCTTGCAGAACAGCCACGAGTACCAGCGACATCTGCGACCCACCCACTAACCCTAGGAGACCGCGGGAGATCTCACTTTAAGCTCCGACGAACTTGGGCCTCAGAACGTGACAACTCTGGGAGCCGGGGCCATTCCCCCCGCCGCGCGCCCCTTCTCGCTTTCCCCATTGGCTCATTCTAGGAAGGGCGACCTCTGGGGGCCCGCTGGTCACCTTGCTCTCCGCGCGCTCTGTGGCGAAAGGCCCCTGCGCAGGCGCGTGAAGGGCGCCTTCGCGGCCCGCGCTTTACGACACTGCGCGACAGCGGCGGCGGCCACCCGGCACTCCTTCGCGACGATTCGGCTGGGAGCCGCTGGCGGCTGTTGCCAGGGTGGGGGTCGCTTTGCGGCATGGCGATGGCGGAGGGCGAGCGGGCTGAGTGTGCTGAGCCTTCCCAGGACGAACCCCCGGCCGATGGCGCTCTGAAGCGGGCGGAGGATCTCAAGACGCAGGCCAACGACTACTTCAAAGGTGAGCTTGCCCTGGAGGGAGCGAGGCGGGGTGCAGAGCGGCCCAGCCTGAGGGGCGCCGGGCCCCGCGCGGAACCATGGCAACGCGGAGCGGCAGCCTGGGCGCGGGCCAGGCACGACCAAGTGACCGGGCGTGGGGAGGCCCAGGATGGCGCTCTCCAGGGGCGACGGGCGGGGGTGGGGGGGCGCTTCTGAGAGGACGGGTGATACCCAGGAGTAGTGGACCGAACGGATGCTGCCGCTGATAAGGGCGCTACCAAGTGTGTGGTGGGGGGAGGGGGTCGGCGACAGTGAGGGCTCTACCAAATGTGAGACCCCGAGAGATGCTAGCTTATGGCGAGACCTGAAGAGAGCGCTACCAACTCGTGACACGGGGCGGAGGACTGATGCGCTGCCAAGTCGGGGTTAGCGGGGACAGCCCCAATAGAGTAGGAAGTCGTGGGGATGGGGAATAGATCATTAGAATGGAAGGCCAGCAGTAAGAGATTTGGGGGTTACACGAGGAAAAGGGACGTGTGGGGGACCCTGGGAGTAGAGGTGGCGGAATCCCATGAAGAGTATGACTTAGGATCTTGAGACAGAGAAAGGTGTGGGGGCAGCCATTCATTCATTC